CCCTTTTATAATGCCACATCTCACTTATAGCCACTGTCCCTTTTTATTAATTACCAAATATATTAAATTTGTCATATGTAAGGCAACGCCACATTATAAATGATCAGAAAAGATCCATAAATTTTCCTTTGTTAAGAATGGATAATGCAGAGTAAACATGAAACTTTCCTTTCGCCAAAAAATTTTTATTCATGGTAATAATATTAAGATTAAGAATAATTCAAATAAGAATTTTATTTTAACCATTCAAATAAAAGCAGATTAGACTTTTTCCTTGCAAAATTGTATTATTATTAGCACAAAAAAATTAAATTCATCTATTTGTAATCGAGTTACACACATTCATTCTTCAAATGGATTGTTAAATCAATGACCAACATCCAACGTAATTGTGAAATAATCATAAAATTTTATTATATCCCCTATAAGGAAAGCATACGGCCACTCCTTGTAATAAATTAATACTAAATTACTAACGGTCCCTTGCTATTACTAATGGGTGCAGATAGTCAAAGTGTTCTCAACCTTGCCAAAGAATCCTTGGTACTAATAGAATAACTTAAATTTGTACTTCACTACCCATTAAACAACAACTTTATTTACCCATTGCGGATTGATACAACTTGATGTTTTTATCAAAAAAAAAAAAAAACAAACAACAAATGAATGTTTAATTTATATAATACATATGCGTACATAATAAAAAATCTAAAAATAATAATTGATAGATAGTTTAAATGATAAATAACAAAATAAAATAAAAACAACTAACAATCTTCTGGATCCATCGGTGGACCTTTTTAATCGTTATAATCAGTCTAGATTTCTGCAATTGATGAAAGATTTAATGATTCAGCCTGCTAAATTGATTCATCCAGTAGACGAGTTATATAGAATGATTCATAATTCTTTGTATCCGACAGAAACTTGTCTGAATTGATGATTTCCTGTCGTTTAGTTTCTGCCAATCTAATGATTTCTTGTTTTTCTTTGATTACTTTAAAAAAATCATATTCTTTGATACGATACTTAATTCCGTTAGCGGTTGGCCTATTCTTTGGATTATGGTCCCACGGTTGGCCTATTCTTTGGATTATGGTCCCAACATCTTTTCATCGATTCAACGTAGGATTCGGGAGCATAATCAGTGATTTGAGGTCTAGCATAAGGTAATGATCATGTGATATATCACGAAAAGGTTTCTTTCCCGTAGTATGGTTCCCATATTATCATTATTTTGTAGATGGTTCGTCTGATAATACTTCAGGTGCCAGGCATGGAACGACACCAAAGTTTTTATTTGGATTGTCTTTTTTATCGGCTACTTGTTGACATAATCCCATCAAGATTTGCACAGCGGTAATGTTTTCTCATATAATCATTATAGTAGTTATAATTATTTTACCAAACATTTACAAAAAAAAAATTAAATTTACAAAACTTACTCTCTTGAAATATCTATCATAAAGTGAACTAGTTTTGTCATTCCAACCTATAAAAAATAACATACGGAAAAACAGTACGTGAACCGTACGTTTTCCTTCAATAATTTTAAAATTTTTTGATAAATTATTCCATTTTTGGCATATTCGGTTAACATGACCGTCGTAATTGTCATTAAATTCATTATTTGTTTTAACTAAAAAAAAAGTTAAGCCATCAAAACAATTATTTTTACGTGAAATTCCGTTTAAAGCGTGGGTAATAGTAATAATAATATTATTAATATTAATATTAATATTGGACTTTATCTCTTGCTAGAATTATATAACTTTTTCAATAAAAACCAAGTTGCTTTATGAATTTCTGCAAAACCTCCATTAGCAAAAAATTAAATGGAATCCATTGGATATTTTGTTTACGAAAGAGAAGTCTATCTTTTTGTTTATTTCCGCATTCGTCGGTTAATTTTTCAATTCCTTTTTGCAATCATAACCAGAATGATGAATTGTAGATCAATGACAGTGATTGCAAACACCACTTTCTCTTGACAATACTCACACGGACGTATCCAATCTTTCTCGTTGTTTTCTTTTCTTCTGTCGTTTTCGTTCTATCAAGGAATTATTTTTTTCAAAAAAAAATTTCTGACAAAATAAACGCATAGTGTGCAAAAGGAGAGAGTAATAAATAGTATTCGTAACGCCTCCTCTCCGTGACTTTTTATTATATTTAAATTAGGAACGCAAGAAATTAATTTTTTTAAATATAAAAATTATTTTGACCAAGCAGAAAATGACTAATGACTATGAACTATGAGCTATCTACTATTATCTAGCAACTACTTGACTAATTATTTCATTAACAATTCAGATAAGAACAGAGGTAGAAAATTCTGTTAACTAACTTCGTTTCTATAACAAAAATTTTACAAATTAATTCTTTTCGTTTAATAAAAAGATTTTAAAATTAAACAATAGTTCAATTGGTTGTCAGAAACTCTGAGGTTTTGTAACTTGGTTTTGATTATTTGCTTTGGTAAAAAGCAAAGGTTTAATTTTGGTGTAAACGTTTTTGTTTTTGTTTTTGTTTTATAAAAGAATGTTTTCGTGTAAAGGTAAGATTTTTTGGTCAGATATATAAAAGCGCCGAGTATTGTTGCAAACGTACAGCTGAGTTTAATCGGTTAAAGAAAAGTGAATGAACAAGGAACTTTAGCAGGGCAATGTTTATTTATTGTTAGTTGCCGCCATAAAGTGTGCTTACAGATTCATCGAAACTTTCTAGGTACAAGAAAGAGGCAGTAAGTGGGATAAATTCGTAAAACAAATTAATTGACGAGCAATCAATCGACGAATGCAAAAGTTAATTCAGACTCGACCCATAAATGTAGCGGTAGCAGTGTCTAAAATTGATGTGCGAAATGCTTTCTCCGAGCATAATAATTTATTTACGCACAATATAATTTTCGAGATGTGTACCGTCCGATCTCAATTTATCTTTTATACTATCTTGGTTATAAAAATTTAAAGCCAACCACTTAATGTTAATAAATCATGTGGTTTATTGTGAAATTTAAAAAACTACTAAACCCAAATAACATAATGATAATAATGAATGCCTAAGAAGAAAAGGTTAAATTGAAGAGGTAAAAAACTCAACATGAAATATAAGATATTGAATCAGTTTCATCACGAGATTCTACACAAGAATGATAATTACCATTTTTATAATAAAGAGACACCATTCGAATAATACATGCAATATTTTTGATGACATCAACACCAAAACAATTAATAGCTATTGGAAATAAGGGATTTATTTGTTAAAGGAATTCTAGAAAAAACTGATGGAATGATGTTGAGATGCATCAATGCATGAAAAAAGTTTATTGATGACTAAATTGAAAAAATTTAGTAATTGCTTTGATAATTTTCTTTCCTGTACACTCATTTCCGATTTATATAATCTTCACCAAAGGGAGGTTTAATGTTATTTTATCATGTAGCTTGAATATCATCTTTCGGAAACTTCTGAACAGGCTTATAATTTAAAAGATGCTGTTTACCATATTTTTTTTTGCAGATCCAAAAATTTTTCATTACATTGTTAAGATTAGTTAATAACTATTTTATCAAAAATTTAATTTGTTCCTAGACGTTAAATGGGGATATAGCTCAGTGGTAGAGCAATCGACTGCAGATCGATAGGTCACTGGTTCAATCCCGGTTGTCCCCTTTACTATCTGTTCAAAATAAAAATATATAATTTTCAAAAATATTATCATTTTTTTTAATGAGCCTTACTAATAATAATTAATATAAAAAAGATCAATAATTATTGTTGAATCTGAATATGAAGATGACGAAGTTTTTCTTCAAAAATAATGATTTATGAGTATTCCACAAATATCATAAAAACCAGAAAGTACAAAAACTTCATAAAAGAAAGAACTCTAAATTTCTCCAATAAATAATAAATATTCTTTGATTACAAAATTATTTTTTCTTACAAAATATTTGGCCAATTCAATTATAATAAATAGATTATACTATTTCGGACATGATATGGGCCTTGTTCTTGTTGGATCAAAGAAAAAGGCTGTTTGGTATTTAATTCATCTAATATTGAAGAAAGTGAAAATTCAACAGAGTCCAAAAATAAGCTTCAACAAAATGGGCCACGAAAACCAGATTCTGAAGTTGTTAAGATTGTGTCTTTTGGCAAATAAATAAGTTTCGTAGTCAAAAGTTTCCCATTAATTATCTCAAAACCATCAACCTCCTAGCGAAGAAACAAAGAATATATATAAATAAATTTATAATGTGTATTACATTGTATTAATAAATAAATAAATTTTTTTAGCATTTCAAGTAATTGTTCTTTAGTTGGATAATTGCAACTTGATATTGATATGGGCCTTGTTCTTGTTGGATCAAAGAAAAAGGCTGTTTGGTATTTAATTCATCTAATATTGAAGAAAGTGAAAATTCAACAGAGTCCAAAAATAAGCTTCAACAAAATGGGCCACGAAAACCAGATTCTGAAGTTGTTAAGATTGTGTCTTTTGGCAAATAAATAAGTTTCGTAGTCAAAAGTTTCCCATTAATTATCTCAAAACCATCAACCTCCTAGCGAAGAAACAAAGAATATATATAAATAAATTTATAATGTGTATTACATTGTATTAATAAATAAATAAATTTTTTTAGCATTTCAAGTAATTGTTCTTTAGTTGGATAATTGCAACTTGATATTTCCATTCTACAACCAAAATACATAATTTATATAAAATATATATAATTTATATAAAATATATATAATTTATATAAATATATATATATATAAGAGAGATAATATTTACTTGTCTTATCGTTCTATAGAATATGATTAACAGAGTCTCACTAATCCTCCTAATTGATGAACTTAATTTTTTTTTTTAATTGTTGGAAATCAAATGGAATAGTTCATATGCATTCTACATGGAGTATATTACATTGCAGGTATAACAATGATTTTATCATTATATTTTTCTTTGGCAATTTTTTTGTGCAATTAATCCACCTTTAATAGTACTATGATCACTAAAAATTATGGTGTTATATCCGTTAGCTTTAAATTTTTTTTAAATTTAAATCCTATTTATTTATTTTTATTACCAATTAACCATTATAACAATTGATTAGGATTCATTTTACTGTCAGAATAGATTGTGAGAGTATGACCGTCCATTAAAAATATTGAAAGCGCCAAAATTTTGATTCATTCACTTAGTAGATAAGTCCTTAATTAAATTCAAGGAAATAATTTTATATTTTAATATATTATTAGAAATTTAAATTCTATAAAATAAGATTTAACTCTGCTTTCTATGATAACCATTATTTGCGGCATTATTTTGTTTCTAAAGTCAAAATAGTATTTAGACAAAAATGTCTAAATGATAATGATTTTGCTTTAAATGCAACTAAAAGTCACGTGGATATACACAAAGCTCAGTAAATTATTCAATAAAAATTCAATTTCAACTAAATGTCTAAATTAATTTATATTTTAAATAATTTAGTTTAGACGTCCATCTATGGTTGTTTCTGGCTCAATCCCATTTACTGCTGATGTTCGTCATTATATTATTATCACTTGGGTTGATAGAAACATACATAGATTGGCCAATGTGAACTCCGACCAATATTAGTGTTGTTGTACAAGAAAAAAATAATATATTGACGTGTTTGTATTTCACTCACTCTCCCTTTTTAACGTTAATAAGAAAAGCCAAAATTCTTTAGCAATACAAAAAGGCAAATATTGTTATAGGTGAATAATTTAAGGGCTATTCTAGTTTCTAGTAATTAATTAATTCATTCGACAACAAATTGTTTAACTAATAGAGGGATTAGTAGAAAAGTTCCCTGATGATATATATAGTTTCTAATAACAGCACAATATATAGATTTAGGTAGCAACGCTAGTTTATAAAAGATGGAAAATATTGATTGATTATAATGATTCAATATGGATAAAAGATTTTCGAATAATGGATATGCTTTAGACAAGTATCAATTTGTGTATATGGCAAATTTATTATCCTACATGTATATATAATGAAAGATTGAATGCTTATAAAGCAAGATCTTGCAGTAGAGATTGGTAGTGTTATGCGTGAAAATGTGAATTTGAAATTTATTAATTAACTACGGTGCAGATCATCTATAATCATTAATTGCTTATAGTAACAATTGGTCAACTTCAAAATACTAAAACAAAAA